ATACGAAAAGACACGGATATAGCGTTACTAAACTGGACGGTTTTGGGAGTGATTTGTCACCATGTTTAATACGTAAATGTTTGTTATATGCTTACGTTAGAATCTCAATTTACAACTTCTACGATAAAATTTCTAAAAATTAAAATAATGTCATGTTTTAATACATTTATTATTATAAAACTTATAATTAGTATTAGAGGTTTTAGTAATGGGTATGGAATACCTTAATAACAGTTATATCAACCAATTTGTAAAGAATATAAACAACGTTGTATACCAGTTATACAATAATTTAATATAGAATATGGTTTATAATCACTATACAACTATGTCAGTAATACGCTAAAACAAACAGGGAACAGACAGATAATATTAAAATGCTATAATACACTACAAACAAATGCAAAAACATACTTATACAAACATAAAATTCAAAGGAACATTTTTTTAATTTGAGTAATACTGGAGCAGAGTATGTCTATGTGAGATTCAATATTAGAATAACCAATAATCATTTGGTGAACCGGATACACTTTATATAAATTAGTACGATGATGCTTGGTCGCGAAGAGGTGTAAATGTCGTGTATAAGTTCTAGGAATATGAAAATTGATCATTTGTAATATATCTTCACATATAATGTTATTATTCAAGATCTTGTATAAGAAAATAACAGAATTTAACTTGCGTCTTTGAGACAAGCTACTCATATTGAAACGCTTGAAAAATGCTTCCTGATGAAATCCTTGAGGAGGATACTGGCCATCAATAAAAAATGTAGCTNGAAGTTCTAAGGTTCTTAATTGCAGTTTCTCCCAGAATCTCCGCCGTTGATCAGTAGTTCGGGTCAGAAGTTCAGTAAAATTTTATTTTTGTTGAGATTAAGTTTCACCAGCCTACACTAAAAGACATGGGTTTATTAAACTGTTTCTCTAGAAAAATGTGTGTCTATTTTATAACGGATATACAACTTTTAATTAAAAAAAAACACTGATCTATACTCATTCAATGAGTTTAACTAAAAAGCACATAAATATGCTTCTATGAAATAGAGGTTAGGTATAATGAATTACTTATATATTATTATGTGTTGTAAGCTTTGTGTTCCATTTGTACAGGGTGAGTCAACGATTGGTTAAAGTAGATTTGCTCCGAATTGCTAAAGTTTATCAAAAAACTATTTCTACAGGGTGATAAGTACGCTAACAGGACACATTTTAAAAATATTTTAAAATATACAGGGTGCTCCAAAAATTTGTGGCAGGNCTTGCGGAACACCTGAAGTCTGGGCAAATTCAGTAGATTTAACACCAGAAATTTGAACAAACTGAGTTCTGCCAGTGAAATATGACTTCATTAGTTCAAGAAAGTCTGACGATAGTCCAAAAGCGCTTAATTTATCCATTAAAAGTCCATGGTCGAGACGGTCAAACGCCTTCGAAAAATCTGTATAGACTACGTCTACTTGGCTTCCCCGATCTATAGCCTCGCTGATAAACTGAGTAATGCATACTAAATTAGTGACTGTCGACCGTCCTTCCATAAACCCATGCTGTTCAGGAAGTATAATATTTTTTAATTGAAAGGAGAGGACACGATGTATAGCAGTTTCAAAAACCTTACTGAAGTTACACAGTATTGCAATAGGTCGATAATTAGCGATATCATTTTTACTTCCTTTTTTATATACGGGGCATATTCTTGAAATTTTCCATTGATCAGGGAATGTATGTGATGTCAGAATTAAGTTAAATATGGTGAAAAGAGGCTCTGAGAAGACGTTAGCACAGTCTCTAATCAAGAAAGCGGGTATTAAGTCCGGACCCATAGTCATTTTAGGCTTTAATTGTTTGATAGAAAATAATACATCATTGAGAGAAATAGAGTTATATGCAATAGTAAGTGCATTGTTATACGAACGCTTGTCTTTATTGAAACTACTAGATGCGATAAACGAAGTTGAAAAATAGTCTGCAAAACCATCAGCGATTTGTTTGTTGTCACTACATAATATATTATTGTAAACCATTGTAGATGGGATAGTTGAGTTACCTCTCTTTGAGTTGACGAAGGTCCAGAATTTATTTGGATTGGATTTAAATTCTAATTCCGTAGCAGAAATACACACAATTGAGTAATAATGGCGTTTAGAAATCTAATAAAGAGTAAAGCACACTTCTTTCAGTGTATGTTAAACACTGTTAGAGGTATTTGAGTTAGTTTTACTTAAATAAATAAATAACATCATGTATCTTGAAAACAAACCGAAATTAGACATAAGTGTACGGGGACTTTTATAATTTGAAGTCCTCAATCATGTGGTTCCATGTATTTCACTTCTTTCAATGTCATGGCATCCTAGGTATTAACAGTTTTTGACAAGATTTTTTTTTCTTTTTCTCAAATAGTGATTGAATTGTTTCCAAAGCATTATTGTGTACGGACTTCTGTTCACGTAACATATAATTTGAAATCAATTTTATTTCAAAATAGTGTAACACTGAAAACAAAAAAGTTCCTTTTTACTGAAAAATGTATAGTACCTGCGACATTGCAGGTCGCCTTTTGCCAGTATGGCCATATTGAATTAGGCATTGAGTAGCAATAACCATTCATAGTTGTAGTATTCTTCTACACATCCCGTGTTCTCATTCCATGTGTCTAGTTAAGACGTTAAACATAACTGCAACATACATCGGTTAAAGTTTAGTTACAATTCAGAAGTGAGATACGAAATTACTGTTTTCGTGATGAGTAATGAGCCAGAATACCATGTCTAATTTTCCTAAACCTAAAACTGTTCACCAAGTTAAACAGTTTTTATGGTTAAGTTCCTATTTTAGAAAATTTATTAAAAATCATGCCCTTATTGTAGCACCTGTAATAAAATTGTTAAAAATGAACGCAAAATGGAAATGGAATTAATCTCCTGATGAAGTTTTTTTAACTATCAAAAAAAAGTAAACGTCTAGACCAGTTTTGTCAATGTTTGACCCAAGAAAGAATTACGTACCGATGCCAGTAGTAAAGGAATTGCTGCAATACTCTTACAGAAGCATGGCGATAGTTTGAGACCCATAATGTATTACAGTAGAAGTACCACTATCAATGAACACGCATTTACCATTCTTACGAGTTAGAAACCTTAGCTGTATTCGAAGCCATCAAGAGGTTTCGGATATACTTAACAGGTATTCACTTTACTCTTGTAACTGACTGTTCAGCAGTATGTTCTACTTTCAATAAACGTGACTTATTGCCGCGAATAGCGCGCTGCTGGCTAAGTATTCAAGATTTCAATTTTCAAGTCAAGCATCGAAACGGAGAACAAAATGCCCTAAGCAGAAACATTCCTACACCTAGTATAATGAAAATCGATGTTAATGATTGACTCCTTTGTATTCCAATGCAAGATGATAAAATTAGATTAATCTTACAAAAACTAACAGGTGAAAGAGTACATACTTCGAAAGGAATGGACGACTGTATAGAAAGACAGATTAAAATAAGTTATTCCGAAATCCGCCTAGTTTTAACATCTTACCACGATGAAATTGGTCATATTGGACATAAGAAGTGTGAAGCACTAACCAAAGAAAATTTTTGGTTTGAGGGTATGACCCGGTTTATAACAAAATACGTTTATTCCTGCATAGACTGCGCATACAAAAGAAGAAAAGAGAGAAGGCTTTCTATATCCTATCAATAAACAAACTAAACCTTTACACACCTGGCATATTGACCATTTAGGCCCTTATGTTAAATGTCCAGGTGGTTATAGCTACATTTTGATGATTGTTGACTCATTTTCAAAATTTCTATTTCCGGGGCCAGTTAAAACTACTAATTCTAAAGAAGCTATACACATTCTGAAGGATCTTTTGTCTGATCGTGGTAAAGCATTCACTAGTAAAAATTTCAATCAGTTTTGCCATGAACATCAGTATGAACTCATCTTAAATAGTGTTGCTTCGTCTCGGTCAAAAGGACAAGTAGAACGTTTCAACTTAACACTTGAAAATGCCATTAATACGTCCATTAATGATCAGACCGAATGGTATTCCGTGTTACCTAATGTTGTTTGGGATATTAATAACATAGTGAATTCCAGTATAGGGTTCACACCACACCGACTTTGGTTTTGATCAAAGTAAACATGCTTCTTTAGAGGCACCTGAAAACTACGTCGATAGAGAAAAGGATAGAGTCCACGCTAAAATGAAAATGGATAAGCGAGCTATTAGAATGAAAAAGCAGTTTGATAAAAAACGTATACTGCCAAAGAAATATTCAAAAGGTGACTTAGTGCTATGGAACGGATCGGCAAATGCAAGTAAATATGTAGCCAGAAAAACTGGAATGAAATATGGAGGACCATACCAAATTTTTGATGTCACGAGTAATGACCGGTATGAAATAACAGTCTTGAAGGGCATGAAAGCGTATAAGAAATACAAAGTCACAGTCGCAGTTGATCAACTTAAAGAATTCTCAAATGGTATGACTGACGATAGCGAGTCGATCAACTCTATTAATAGTTTAGATGAACTAATAGATCTTCTAGAAGCTTAACACAATAATTGGCAATTGTAATAGTGTACTTATTTATATGTGACATAAGTAAAATATTGCAAAAAATAAACAAGCATTCTTTAAAATGCAGGAATATCTGCTTAAAACCAAATTCATGAAAACGCAAAAATTAAGAAATAAAATTAACATAAATAAAATAGGTTACAAAATTAAAACTAGTTGCAGAAAACTGCTTAAAACAATAAAATTAAAATTGCCGAGTGTCCAAGATACTCGAGCTTGAAAAACAAATCATTAAATCAAAATTTATCGCAGAAATCTGCTTAAAATTAAATTTAAAAAAACGCAAAAACTCAAGCTTAAAAAACTGCTGAGTATACCATGCTCGAGCTTAAAAACTAAAATGAAAATGATCTGCCTAAATCCATGACGAAACAATTATTGTGCTGTCTTCTTTATTTTTCTAGGAAACCATATAAATCACAGGGCCAAGCACGAAAGGAGACGAGGTCATCCAAGAAGTCAGGATCGCCCAATGTTGCATCAACACATTACATAGTGTAGATCTTATTCTAATTATATTCTTATTGCATGTTCTAATATTTCATACAATTGTTTTCGTAGGTTTAATTTCTTTGTAGAATAAAAAGTGCTTTATGTAATTTGTACGTTTGATATTGTTCACTAATTTATCAGGAGATTATTATATTTAATTCAAAAGTGCCGTTACACGTACCACAATGATTTCATTTCAATCATCTACGTTACATCTTGCAATTCAAAAGCCGTACTTGTAAATTAATATTTTAATTCGTTCTCTAAATGGCGCAGTTGTGAATATAATTTTAGAGTGAGAAGTTTGTACCGGCCTTGTTCACAGTTACATTTTAATGGCACCCACAAATCACAGAAAGATAAATATGTTGCTGGCTCTGCCTATATTCGGAAAATATCTAAACAGAGGTCGAACCGAAACCCTCCCTCCTCAAATCTAAATGCTAATGTTGCTTAATTGAAACGATCCAACACGGGTTTTAACAAATCGCTTCTTTCGCCTCGCACTTCGCAAACGGCTCTTTCATCTGGGCGTGATGAAAATATAATGTAGTGTATTTGTCCCAGTCTTTATTTCAAACGGTATAAATGGGCTTTAAGGCATATATCCCAGGGGATTTATTAGTCGCAGGTCCTGCGATTTCCTGCAGGCCATTTATCCAAACTTTAAAATATCACGCGTAGGTCGGAGTAATGGGGTGATGGATGTCTTCCAATGGGCAAGTTATTTTAGTTAAAACGTTTAAGCTAAGCGGCTTATATTCTAGGAAATATCGGCCCGTAAAAGCAATTAAAACTGGACTCTTTTAAGCCGGCTTGGCAGCAAAACAAACATTTATGTTCACCGAATAAACTAATATTTTCCTGGAAATAAGTAATTATTTTGTTCATAGTTATTTTGTTTAACTTTATTTAACTTTAACTTTATTAGACTTCTATCTGACACGAATCTACAGAATCTATTTATATCAATAATAAAGTAATTGTAGATAAGAATATGCAATAAGAAATGCTGAAAAATTGTTTACTTAATAATTACGAGCAATTACATAGGTATGTCTAAAAAAATTATTTATTAACAATAATGGAGTTCTTCTATCTATTTTTTCCTTTAAGAGAAAATACGAGAACTGTGTATCCACATATTCTTGGATTGTTGATATCTCATTTAGTTTTCGTTATGTTGTTATTTGAGTGCAATGTGACGATTTTTGAAATGTGCGATTTTGTGGAACAACGATGCAAAGTAAAATTTTACATGAAACTGGGGAAAACCTTCAAGGAAAGTTTCAACTTTTGAAATAAGCTCTGGGGCATACGCAATGTTAGAATGGTTTTCACTATTTAAAAGTGGCCTTCACCAGGAAGGCCTTCGACTTCAACTGATGACTCCCACGTTCAGAAAGGAACGGATATGGTGCGAGTAAATCGCCGATTGACTGTTACAAATTGGAGAAGAGCATCTCAATTGGGTCATGTCATGAAATTTTAATAGAAAAATTGCACATGCATCGAGTTGCAGCAAAATTTGTTCCTCGTTTGATGACCGAACAAAGAAAGATAATCGTTTGGACGATTATTGACTAGTCCTTGAACAATTCAATGACGCTGAAACATTCATTCAAAGGATCATAACAGAAGACGAATGCTGGGTTTACGGCTACGACATTGAGACAAAAGTTCATCACAATGGGCCTCATAAAATTAAACTAGGTACTCGTTTTATGGAAAGCAGATGTGATCGATGGTAAAAATATAGATATTATTATGATAAAAATAAAGAGTGAAGATAAAGAAGAGCGTATATTGTACGCGGAAGCCAATGGCTCCATCTGTCGTGCAGACTTCCAACTGTGTCATTCAAATGACTACAGTAGGAAGCGACCTGCTAACTGCAGGTACTTTGTTGCACGACTGCCATCCACATAGGGCGTAACACAATGTTTGAGTCGTCAGTGCCGCGAGAAACAACTACTCCGAGGGCTATTTGCCCCTACCGGCATTGAATTATACTCGCGACACCTAGTACAACAGCTAGGATCGTTTGTCAGTTTTAACCCACCAGGCACAGACCGGTTTCGGACTTATTAGTCCTCATCAGTGTGTCATAGGTGCGACAACCGACAAACGACCCAGCTGTTTCTTCGTCGTATCATCACGAAGAGGAAGTACAGTGTACGCGAGAGCCAATGGCTCCATCTGTCGTGCAGACTTCCAACTGTGTCATTCAAATGACTATAGTAGGAAGCGACCTGCTAACTGCAGGTTCTTTGTTGCACGACTGCCACCCACAGAGGGCGTAACACAATGTTTGAGTCGTCAGTGCCGCGAGAAACAACTACTCCGAGAGCTATGTGCCCCTACCGGCATTGAATTATACTCGCGACACCTAGTACAACAGCTAGGATCGGCCCGAAGGGCCCCTCGGTCTTTCCTTTATCCAAGCGTCATATTTTGAAGGCGATCTGTTCGCGCCTTCTATGTAAAAAAATTTCCACTTTAAAAAGAGTCCTGGCCAAAAATCGATTTTTTTCGGTGATAGTGAGATACCCGAAGTACATCCGATGTTTTAGAGACACAACTTTGGCAACAAAACTTGAATTGAAGATTTTCAATTTTCTGTTTATATTCGCGGAGAACAAACGTTTCAAATAGTCCGTGCAGGCTCCATCCAGCGTTAGATCGCCGTAGCTCATTTTGTAAACTCACTGCGAAGCCGAAGGTCCGGGGTTCGAATCGCGGGCGGGTCGCATTTTTTCTTTTTTTTTTTTGGAAAATGTTATATATTATTTATCAACCCACAGAGAACGCACCGCGGAGCAGTGGTCGAGTCGCGCGCAATACGGCCCGAGGGCTAAGGCCCGAGAGAAAAGTCAAGTCCGTACCAGCGGACTTGACCCTACCTACCTTTCTAGTTACCTCTTTAAACATTGTTAAATAATGTACACTACTATTATAATCTAACGTTAAATTATATTTCATATTCAATTATCTTCAAAATAGCTTCTTCCTCTTATATGATGACTATATTCAAACGTTCTATCGTTTTCGTAAATAACAGTCCTGACATTCTGATATGTCTTTCAACACTACAATATTTTTCGACATCCCTTCGATTGTTTCCTTCATAAACCATAGGATAATAGAACACCAACATGAACATTAAATGCGAACTTTGCAGGACTTTTTCATTAAAAATATAATTTTAAAGCTAAATAACTTATTTAATTATCGAATTTGAAGGATAGATTAATAGAGCATATAGGTATATGCTATAATTGAGTTCTTCCTAAAATTTCTTATGTACAGTATTCAAATTGATTTAGTTACTTACGTTTATCTCGAATACCGTAAGAGAAAATTACAAAAATTAGTAAGAGCAAAAAAGTTCTGAAATGATGTGGCATCTAACGAGTATAATCAACTTACCGTCAATTAAGGGTAATCAGAGTAATTGATGTATAAAACTTGGTTCTTGTAGATAGAACAGATTTCTTTTAAATTAACACATTTTTAATTTGTGGGGTTCCTTTAAGCCTCTATATATCATCTCAGGGGCGTAACTTGGTGAAGGTGTCTTGTTAGCATTTATTATTCAAGCATGGCTTTTTGACTTGATGATTGGTTTCTCTGATAATGAATTCATTCAATCAGACAACATAATTACAACAATACCATTAACGATAATATAACACACTAACAAGTGAACCACTGATGCAATTAATAAGTTTTTATCAACTCAATTCCAAATTTTATGAACATCCGTTGCTTTTTTCCTTGTACTTAAGGGTATTTCCTGTTTTTCTCCTGCATTCTGAATTATTTCATTTCATTAGTTTGCGTAATATTCATTTTGAAACGTAGGACGTGTAATAGCAGATATTGACAACAAGATGGCAGTTTTGTTTAATTTTGAAGTAATATGTAATAAACTTAATATTATATTAGACTGCCTATCATCTATTTCCTATTTTATCTTCATCCTCAGAAACGTCGTGCCTCTGAGGATGAAGACAAAAAAAGATACTAGTGTTGCATCATACTGAATAAGTATAAACAATGAAATCTGTGATCCATTTTCCGAAAAAAGTTTATATAAAAAGGTAGGTATTCTATTTTTATGTACCATATGTCCTGACCATATTAGGAGGCAATTTTAGAATTCAAACTATTTGCGTTAAAGCTAGGACGAGATGGCGTAAAAGTACAGCAACATTGGCTTTTCCATTTAGCAAGATAGCTCGGGCTGTTGTGGAGCTGCCCAGCTAGCTGCGGATCTCAAGTAGTTCCTTGGATTTGCGAATCTCATCATTTTTCGGCACCTTGTAGCTAGCCTGTAATTAGGTCCGGAGACGCACTTAGACACTTCACTTGCTTTTAGGTTTTCAAGAAATTTTGGGTTTTTATGGTTTGATCTGACCCTGTACATTTTCTTTTTCACTGATTTTAAGGAGCATTTTAATTTCTACTGTGTACCCTTTAAGGATTTACGCCGTACCTAGGCGGACTGCGTGAGGAACTGTATGAATTTTAAACTCGTGTGGTTATTTTTCTTGAGAAAATACAACTCAAATATGGAATTTTATTGTTTTGCTTTATTGTTGATTTTTAAAATATATGTTAGTTGTAGACATTTGCATATAGAATGGTTGTAAAATCTTGATCTTGCGGCAGGCACTGGGGAGAATTTCGTTTCTGCTTATACATCTGCCGATACCCAGGGTTGACGTTCAGTCGCATTCACGGCAGCTCCTACGTCTCTCTTGCGGACTTCGTTTTAGTGCGGCTCCCTGGACCCTGAGCTGTATTCTGCTTCTGTTTCGTTTCCTTACATTCTTAGCATTTTGATATTCTTTTTAGTTAACTTGGCTGGGTCCGAATTTCATCGGAAGTTTTTTGAATTTACAAAATTCGGACCTAATTTTTCATCGTAGAACTCAAATCAAGCTGCAGTGGGGGATGGGGGCTGTTGTAATTTAAGCTGCG